CCCCAAAACCCCAAAACCCCAAAACCCCAAAACCCCAGGGTGTGCTTCTGGGGTTGAAAATGTATGAAAATTAGATTTGGTGAATATTTTTGTCGTTACTCAAATAATTCTGATTGCGCTGGTTTTAGTTCTCTTAGTTTACATCAAAAATCTTGAATTATGAGGATCTCAGGAGTAAGGATACTTGTGGATAACTCCTTTCATCTCTTCTAGTATGCTCTGTCTAGGAGTAGAAGAATGTAGACTTTGATCTTTATGAAGAGAGGTGATATAAAAGGTAAAATTTGTTCCAACAGACTTCTCAGATTCATAGCTGATATCTCCTCTCAAACTTTCAACTATTTTATTTAGAAATATGGAGACCGATTCCAGTGCCATGTTGATTGATTTCTTCTTTATGTTTCTGATTGATTCCAAACATTTGAAATATATTAGTCTCACTCTTGCTAATTCCAATCCCTGTGTCTTGAACTGAGAACCAAAGTTGTGTCTCCCTGAGACTATTTTTCTGTTCGATAGATATTTCAATTCCTCCAAAGTGTGTAAATTTTAGAGCGTTTGAGAGCAAGTTGACCAAAACTTGCTTTATTCTTCCTGGATCCGAAACATAACTTCTCTTCCTTAAAGATTCATTCTGCAGAACAATTCTAAAAAAGAGCCCTCGCTCATTTCACTGTGTTTCAAACATATACTTAATATCATCGATAATTTCAAAGAGATGAAATCGAGAAATATTATTGGAAAAGACTCCAGAATCGAATTTTTCAAGGTCTAGGATATCTTCAACTAAGTTCATTAGCAGCCTTGATGATATTGTTCCCATTTTAATAAACTTTTCGATCTCCTCAACATTCTCTGCCACTTCAATTTTCGTGTCTTCATTTAGCTGAGGAGTGACATATTCTATAATTTGATCAAATCTTATTTTAATAAGCTTTAGAGAATTTTCAAAAGCATTTAGGGGTGTTCTAAAATTCATGGGATGCACTTGCGAACATCACTTTCTGACAGGCTGATTTGGCTCTCTCTTCCTCAAGCTTTGTTATATGGGTTGAGTCAATAAATATATGCATATAAGATTCCGAATTCTTATTCCACCGAACTTTCATGGTCTTGATAGTATAGTACTTAACGTCTCCTTCTAAATTTTCCTGACTATCGAATCTATTAATTCGGAGAGATCTTTCATATAGAGCAACCATAAAGTTAACTGATGCTTTAAGTTGCTTCGTCTCCTCAGCTTTAGCTCAGTGCTGTTCTAAAAGTTTTGAAATTGGAATTTTGGATGAATTACTATCTCTATCAAGCAGCTGGACTCTTACGGTGGAATCATATAAATCAATCACTGACCCTGTAGGGTCAGTATTTAAAATATGCTCTCTTGTATTGTTGTTCACAAATTTTGGGAGTAGCTTGTTTTCTTTATCAAATTGCTGGATTATAACACCTTCAGGAAATGTTTGAAGAATTCTTTGAATAGTTTCAGTAAGGTCTTTATTTTCTTTGATCAAATGTAATATGTCTTTGACAATTTTTGAATATAAAAGAGGTCCTATTGAGACTAGCAAAGTAGACACGAGCACAGTAATATAAAATACAGTAGGGACTCCTTTAAAATTTTCTCCACTGTTGCCTGCACTATGATCATATTTGATATAAACCTTAATCATACAGATTATCATATTCAAAAGATGAGGAATTGCCAGATATTTCCACTGTAATCATATAAATGTATTTCAAAGAAAGACAACTCAAAAATATATCACCCACATTTCATAGAAGCTGTATCTCTCTCCTTTCAAGTTTCCAGTTGTTCAGGCATATCCCCAACTGAAAAGGAAGAAGCTAAAGAATACTTTATTTTAACCGTGGATGCCTTTTACTTATAAAATTCATGATCAAAGTACTTGAATAGAAGATTGTAGATATAATGAAGCATCTTTTTCTAACTGCCTCATCATCACAAAAGCTAAATACCATAAAGAAGATTGCAATAACCGCTAATTTGTTCAGTTTGATGATAACATCCCATCCCTTTGATATTGACTGGTGAATATGGTCATCCAATAAATCTTTGATTTGATCATCGCCCTTATTTATGCTCCATAAATATTCCTTTGCTTCTAGAAAGGTTTCTTTAAGCATGCAGAATCAGTTTTGGATCTTGGCATTAAAGAACCCTAGTACTTGAGTTACTAAATAGCTAAATCTGCTATTTATGCTTATTCCCTGATGATTAGCACCAAGGTGGTCCTTGAAGCGGTCATGCTGTTGGAATTTCCCTATCTTTATCATATAATATTTTCAATTGTGAAACATATTCTTGGGGTTTTGGGGTTTTGGGGTTTTGGGGTTTTGGGG